GTCATATTAGATCAAATGAGTAAGATCAAAAAGCTGGAAACCAACGTTTATCCAATGTGATCAATTTCTTTTGTTTTACAAATGATCTTTTATTAAAAGGTGCAAACTTTTGTATTAAGAAAATCATGCAAAGGTTGTTGGAATGGATGCATAATGACCTTTAAAGGTGTTGATATATAAACTGATTTGAGTCAAAATTAAATGTTGGGCCAACAGACCTCATTCTTGTGCTTTTGGTAAACCTATAGTAATCATGACCTACAAGGTCAGACAGTGAGCATGTCAAGGTGAAATAGAGTTGGGTTGTCGGTAATTAGAATGTAAAGATATGAATGTAAGAACTGCATGACACTGCGAGATRCTTGATATAGAAATAAAGGAAAGTTATAGAGCTTAGAAGGTTATTCCCGGAGGAAGACCATGAAAATAAATTCGGAAATATTAATTTTTGACCTCTCTGAGATTTGACAACCCATGGCCCTCGGATTTGTACTATCAACGCTCTACCAACTGATCTACAAGGTCAGACTGGGAGCAGGTCCGGTCCAAGTCAGGGTCATGCAGTCCATTCATAGATTTAGAAATGTTGTTGATCAAATTTGACTTTTTATTAAATTTCTTTTGGCAGTAAGAACATTCAAATGGCTCTCTCCACTGTGTATTCTGATGTGTGTAATCAAACTTGCCTTTTGATTGAATTTCTTTTTGCAGTAAGAACATTCAAAGGGCTTCTCTCCTGTGTGTGTTCTGATGTGAACTACCAAATGACACTTGTGATTAAATTTCTTTTTGCAGTTAGAACATTCAAAGGTCTTCTTTCCATTATAGTTATTTTTTATTACCATAAGAAGGTTTCAAAGCTTTCTGTTCACCTTCATTGGACAAGTCGTGCACAGAATTATCTCTTGTGCCACTTTTGTTGTTAYTTGTGAACACTGTCAAATCTCCTGAGATATTTCCATCTTTCTTCTGAAGTTTACATTCACTATTCTTATCATTATCTTTATTCATGGTACCAGGGTCTGCATATGGCTGTTTCTTTGTTTCTATTCAAGTTTTTAGCACTATTGGTTTCTTCAAGAACTTTTAGCATTGCATCACTACATTCATGTCAGTGCTTCTCTTTTCATCGCCTTCTTCAGTTTCAATATCTAAGTTATCTCCAACAGCAAGTAAAACACCTTGTTCTTGCAGTGGAGATGTTTCTATGTGACTTATATCTTGGTTTGAAGTATTGACGTACATGGAAGTACAACCATTTTCACAGCCATCATCGTCTGTCTGTACACCAATAGAACTAACCTCTTTGTAGATAACTGGCTCACC